TTWAWTWWTWAAAAGAMTTCTAAGTAACAATTAGCAGCTGCTTTTCACACTGAAAGATGGCAGCTAAATGTAACAATAATTAACATTCAACTTTCATTGTTTATTATTTCCCTAAAAGCTTGTCCAGGATAAAATTCATGTGTTTTGCTCTTGTGTCACCTATTCCAACAATCTGGGGTTGAAAAATCCCTTCTCTGCTCAACATTGATGCTGCTGATTTGTTCTCCAGGTTTGATTTGCACTGATCCTGCAAACACCATCAGTTTTGTTTTACTGTGTTGTTATGCAACTGCAACAAATTCATGTTTAGATGGAAGCACCAAAGTGTTTGATTATCAAAATATTTTCCATTTCACGCTGCAAGCTGTGCTTTCATAGATACCTTTCTCACTGGTAAGTTTTATATAAGAACAATTTGAATGTTTCTTTCCTTACAAAACACAAGAGCAGCTTTAGAAACAGAACACCATTTTTCCCTTTAAAATAACAATAAAAAACCTGATTTTTTTTTATAGGACAGAGCAGTGTTAATTCAGAACGAAGCTGAAAAAGCCCAACAGAAAAAGCTGTGATAAGAGAGGATTAAAATATCCTTTTGCTCTATTGCCATGCCTTTACCTTGACAGGCTCCTGGGTGACCAGGGGCTGGTTGTCGATGGCTCCTGGTTTTTGGGGGTTCAGTTGAAGCAGAGAATTCCCATTGGATGCCAGGAAACATTGGTTGTTATTGTCTGAAGTGTTGTGCTGCCGTGCAAAACACACCTCAGAGCCTGGGCTGCCAGGGTACAGAGCATCTGAGTACAAAGATAGAGAAAAAAAAAACAAAAATCATTCACTTCAGGGTGAAATAATTGACTTCAGGACCCCATAAAGCACAAAGGAATGAGTTTCATTCTTTATCTTTGTTTTAAAAAAGATTGCTCAAGTGTGCTGTTCTTTATCCTGCAGAGAAACATGCAACTCTCCCAACTCCAGGGATGAAAATATTCATCTCTCAGAAAGGGATTGATGATTTTAGATTATATTTGATATATTTTATAATATTTTAGATCRTGATTACACAAACACAGCTCTGAAACAGCCTATTCAGCTTGGGATGAGTAAATGTGAGCATTTTGTTGTTGTGTGGATGTTTGAACACCAAACTCCCCAAAAACTCATCTGCAGAGCTCAAGATTTATCCAATAATCTTTCCTTTAATTTTCCTTTTTTTATTCTTAAAGAAGCTGCTTTGGTCACGCAGAACTAAACAGAAATTTAAATTAAAATTAAAATAAAAAAAAAAGAACCTTTAAGCTAAAACTTGTCTCTCTGTCCTTCGTTTCCCACAACCCCTATCCCCCCAAAATCACAACAATTTATCTAATTTCAACTGAAATTTAAAATTTATGATTTTAAAATACCAGATACAACCTTCAGCTGCCTTAGAAGAAAAAAAATCTCCAATTCTCACAAGAACTAATTGAAAATCAGGACTAAAATCTTTTTTCTTTCCCAAAGATGGCTCTTAGGATCTGCAAAAACTCATTCAAATTTAAATCACATGCTCTGTGAAATTACAACTGTGCTTTTCCTAAGGGTTTTTTTTTGCTTTTTCTTCCTTCTTTTTACCATCTTTGTGTGGCAGAGTAMAGGATCAACCAGGTATGAGCTGGTAACAACTTAATGTGAAAGCAGGAGGAAAATTAATGATGGGACAAAAAATACCTTGAAAATAATTCTGGAAA